AACTTCCATAATAAAACGCAAAATTTGAAAAGGCGTTTTTTGATTTTCTTGGCCTTTTTTAGGACGCACTGTCATCTGCGCCACAAAATCATTGAGAACCGCAGAAAAGTCAGGGGTATTCAGAGCTTTTACAACAGTTAAAAACTGATCAAAAACCTCTAGCCCTCCCTGGTCATAAAGCATTTTTGCACACCCGGGAGACCCCGCACTTAATGCAACCAAAGCATCGCTTTCATCTGGAGACAACGTCCCAAATTCGCTTTTGACAAAACTTTTGAGTTCCTCAGACGACAAAGCACGCAAAGAAATCATCTGAGACCGAGAACGCAACGTTGGTAAAACTTTGGACATACGATGCGCAATCAGAATGAGGGTAGCCCCTACTGGAGGCTCCTCCAGCACTTTCAAAAGAGCATTTGCCCCATTCATATTTAAGTCATCAACGGCATCAACTACGACGATGCGACGCTTGCTCAAAGCGGGTTTCCGTTGGAAAAAAGCGGTTACTTTTCGAGCTTCTTCAACACTAATCCCCTGGGACAATTTTCCGGTTTTTTCATTGGTTTTCCGGGTCATCCACAAAGCATCAGGATGGACGCCTGAACGCAAGAGTTGTCCTGTCGGAGTGTTGTGCTCAAGTGCATGAGAAGAAATCGCTTGCTCCCCTTCTAACAAAGCGTGTTGAAGCCGATACGCAACCTTTGACTTTCCGATACCTTCTGGACCCACAAGCAAAAGTCCATGAGGAATGCGATCGCTTTTCAATAAAGAATTTAGGGTGTCTAAAGTCTCTTGATGGCTGATTAAAATGCCACTCATGACAAGGTTCCTTGTAGGGTCAAAATTATATTACACATTCAACCGCTCCTCTAAAACCGTTTGTATTGATCTCCATACATCTTCTATAGATTGTGCTGCGTTAATCATGACACATCGGTCTGGATTTTTCTTTGCTAGATCTGCATACCCCTTTGCAAGGCGTTCATGAAAGTTTAGATCCATACGCTCATAACGATCCTCTGCGCCATGGTCACGGTCTTGTGTACGAGAAAGACCTTCTTTTAGGGGAATATCCATAACCAAAGTCAAGTGAGGCTGAAAATCACCAGCAATATGACGATAGACTTCGTCCAAAAAAGGGAGAGAAACCCCATGACCATATCCTTGATACGCCACACTGGAATCTTGAAAACGATCACAAATAACCCATTTTCCTTTGGCAAGCGCTGGCCAAATCGTTTGGATCAGATGCTGACGACGGGCGGCAGATAAAAGCAGATATTCACTTAAACCATCCCAACGTCCTGTCTCCCCTTCAACCAAAAGCTTCCGAATTTCTTCTGCCTGAGGACTGCCGCCTGGTTCACGGGTTAAATAAACCTGAATCTCTTTAGACTCTAAAAAAGCTTTGATCTTTTGAATCTGGGTTGATTTTCCCGACCCTTCTCCACCTTCTAAGGTAATAAATTTAGCTTCCAAGTTTTTTCCTGGTTTTTCAACAACATACATCAAGAATTACTGCGCCTCTTCCCTATTTTCTGCCACAGGGTTATGGCCAAAAATCAAATAGTGGAATGCTTGACCTATACGCTTAAGCGCACCCGCCTTTTCAACATCTTCTGCAGCAATAATAGGCACTTCTGCAAGGACTTCATCCCCCAAAGTAAAACGCACTTTTCCTAAGGCCTGCCCACGTTGAACCGGCGCTTGAACGGGACTGTCATAAATGACTTTTGCTTTTAACTTACCCAAATCCTTTTTCGGAACCGATACAGAAACATCTCGGGTACAAACAGCATCCACTGTTGGCGCGCTCCCTTCCCAAACATCAACAGGAACAACAACATTTCCTTTCCGAAAGAGCGTTGGAGACGCAAAGTATGAATACCCCCACCACAGAAGACCTTCACATTCCCGGGTTCTCTCGCGCTCGGACTCTGTTCCATTCACAGCCAACATTAAGCGACGTCCTTTTT